CAGGCAGACAAGGATAATATGGCACAATAATAAAAACTGGTGAATGCAGAGAAGGAGTACACAGGAAATTATTTCCATTATTTTTTAAGGTTTTCAGTAAAATTTTAAAATTTTTATTTATTGGATTCTTTTGAGACAGGGTCTTGATATGCAGTTAAGGTGGCAATCGTCCTGCCCCAGTCTCTCAAGTACTGGAATAACAGACATGCACCAGCTTTTGAGTAAATCTGATATTACTTCAAAATTAAAAATGCATGGCTTGCCTGGCAAGCGCAAGGGCCTGAGTTCAATCCCCAGCTCCGAAAAAAGTGTATGGCTTGCAGCTGGGGAGATGGCTCAGTGGAATAAGTGCTTCCTTGGCAAGCGTAAGGGCCTGAGTTCAATCCCTGGTTCTGCAAAAGAATAAAAATAAAAAAATAAAAGTATGACTATCAATCAAAATAAATTTTAAAAGTAAGATGATTAGGAATACAGATTCAAAATCAAATCCTCTTTTCCCAGGTGAGACTATTAAGGCCCTGAGAAGTGACTAAGCCAAGGTAATATACCTGGTAGCAAAACTGAAGTTAGAATTAAGGACTTAAAAAAAATTTTAATGTAAATTGCACATAAAATTAACCAATTAAAACTGCACAGAAAAAAAAATGCACAGAGTTAGGAATAGCTCAGCAGTGAAGGCACATGCTATAGGCACAAGGTCCTGGTTTGCATCCCTGGTACTGCAAAAAGAAAGAAAGTATACACTGCAGTGATATTTAGTATATTCATAATGCTGTACAACTATCAACTATCTGACTCTAAGACATTTTCATTACCCCAAAGAAAAGCCCGTAAGTCATTAAGCAGTTAATTGTCATATGCTCCATTACTTTCAAAGTTCATCCACATGTAACATGTTATCAATAGCCCATTCATTTTTATGGCTGAATAATATTCCATTTATGAATGCATCACATTTTTTTTACCCATTTATTAGTTTACTGTAACTAGATTGTTCCACTTTTTAACATTTGTGGGGTCAGGGATATGATACAACTCAGTGGCATAAACACCTGCCTGGTAAGTGCAAGATCCTGACTTCAAATCCCTAGTAGCAAATAGCATCCTCAAATTTTTTTGTTGCTTGTTTTTTTTTGCGGGTGGGGGGTGGTACCAGAGATTGAACTCAGTATCTTGTACTTGCCAGGCAGGCACTTATGTCACTGAGCTATCTCTCCTTAGCCCACACCCAAAAATTTAAAAAAAAAAAAAAAAAAAAATCTGTGAATAGAATTCTGTAAATATTCATCCTTTAGGGCTAAGCAGATAGCTTGGCAGCGTTAAGTGCCTGCCTGGTAAGCATAAGGTCCCATTTTTGATCCCTGGTACCACATGTTGTGCCAGCCCCAGATCCCTGGCCACCCCGGAACCCGGTGTGGTGGCGCACACCAGCAATTCTTGCACTAGAGAGGCTAATAAGGATCACTAAAAGTCCAAACTGCATAGCAATACCCTTTATCAAAACAACAATTAAAATTTTTAAAAAATACATTCATCTTTTGGGCACATACCCCAGTGAAACTGCTGGGTCAAATTTAACTTCAGAGAAATTGCCTAATTGTTTTCCCCACAGCAGTGTACCAATTTATATGACTAAATTTTCATTACCTTTGTTACTTTCAACTTTTTTTTAAAATTTATTTGATACATGGTTTTACTATGCAGTTCAGACTAGTAATGATCCTCCTGTCTCTCAGCCTTGCCAGCACTGGGATTACAGGCATGTGCTACCATGCCAGGTCTCAGGGCAAGCACGGCATGTGGTACTGGGGATCAAACTCAGGACCTTGCGCTTGCCAAGCAGGTGCTTAGACCTCTGGGCTACCTCCCCAGCCCTACTTTCCACTTCTTAAAGAAGACAGATAGGTATGAGGAGTGTGTTACTATGGGTTTCTTTTTTCTTTCTGCAATCCTGAGGATTGAGCCCAGATCTTCTGCAATGAGCTACATTCCCAGTCCTTTTAAATTCTAGTGTTTTATTTTGACATAGGGTCTAAGTTGTCCAGGCTGGGTTTGAACTTGGTAATCCTTTTGCCTCAACCTCTCAGAGTATTGGGATTAGAAGAATGCTTTTCTTTTCCTTTTTTCTAGTCTTCATGATTTCCTCTCTAACCTTCTACCTCTGATTCTCTTTGTTCTTGTGTTTCACTGTCTCCCTATCTCTCCTGAAGGTGCTAGAGAGCAAACTCAGGCCTTAAGCATGACACATAAGTACTTTACCACTGAGCTACACCCCAAGCTCTCTCTGAAGTTTTCATTTGCAATGTATTTCCCTAGTAAGTAAAGGTGTTCAATCTTTTCATGTACTTGTTGGTATGTCTCTTTGAAAGATTTTTTTTTTTTGACAGTACTGACAAATTCAGAGGCTCATGTGTGCTAGGAAAACTCATCACCCTGATCCCTTTTACATTGGGTTGTCCTTTTGTCATTGAGTTGGAGAATGAGAAAGATCTGATAGTTAATCTGATGCTTCTTAGTTTAAAGTAAGTTAACATGAATATACAAAGATAACATTCTTAAATAATATAAAAATTTACACTAAAAAATATTATAAACTTAACTTTGTAATATGGAAAATTTGAAGCATAACAAAAATAGACATACCTTGTATCCACCCATAAAATAGTTGTCAGAAAAATTTCATCTATTCTGCTTTTCTAGTTTTTTGGCTGCAGTTTTGATTTTTGACTTTTGGCTGGTATATTTTGAAATAAGTCCCATATAACATAATACTTTACCATTAAATACAGAAGAATGTAATGAGTAAAACTTGTAAAAATTTAATGAGATCATACCTAAGAAAGTTATACATATTATTTACTATAATCTAGTATCCAAGCCATGTTGTTTTTCCTGTTGTCTCAAAGATGCCTTCTGATAGTAGTTTAAGTATCTAAATAAAGTCTATTTTGCTTTTAGTTGATAAATTTTTGGACTGGTTTTTGTCTTGTTTTGTTTGAGACAGGGTCTTGTTATATATAGTTCAGGCTCGCCTTGAAATCACTAAGTAGGACAGGCTGGTCTCGAACTTGCAGTAAACCTCCTGTGTCAGTCTCCCAAGTGCAAGGATCACAAGTGTGCACTATCACACCTTGCCTGGGATGTTTTTTGAGACAGGTCTCACAATAGTCCAGGCTGGCCTTCACTGGCTACGCAGTTCATGCTGAGGATTGAAGCCAAGGCCTCATGCAAGTTAAACAAGCATGCTACCACTAAGCCACATCTCTAGCCCAATAAGAAGAATTTTTAAAAAAGAAAACAAGGAAGTACTAACCATGAAAGAATCATACTCTCTCTGGTAATTGTTTTTTTCAATTAATTTTTATGTTTCCCAAGTTCTAAAAAGAGTCAAGAGTATTTTTCACCCTAGACAGAAAAAATGGTTTACCTTTTTTGATTGGTTACTACCTGTGCTGTCTTAGACCTCTTCCTAGCTCAGACTTCTAAAAAGTTCTAACTATGTCACCCATCTCAATGATGGCTTATAATTAAATGAGAAATTTGTTCTATAACACCAAGATATCTATTAATACAGTGTATGATTAACAAAAGATCTTTGTTGTTCATCTTTAACTATGCCAAGATATGTATGCATAAATATGGATGAGTTGATTTTCAAGATTTTTACTTAATAGTAGAAATTGGAATCTCAAGCCCTGATGACCAACAACAAAGCTGAGATGGTGCTCTATCTTACCTGGTCCTAGAAACTGGCATCCTCGAGCCCTGACAGCAGCCCACAGATTGGCAGATAACTGCTGAGGATTCTGGTGCTGTAATATTAGTTCTGTTACAGTTCTTTCTCCAAGTGAACGTGCGGCTCGCATGGCTCTGACTCGACCTTCTTCCTCCACCAGTTGACAGTTTACAAGTGTCACCAATTTCCTTTGCATTGGACGGCTCAGTGCACTCTGGTTCAAACTAGCCACACCTTTAAGAAAAGTGAAACAAGGGGAACTAAACATTTTTCAGTAAAAATGACACTAACAAAAATAATAATAAAATTTTAAAAAATAAAAATGACACTTTTGGGCCAGGGATGTAGCTCAGCGGAGTAAGTGTGTGCCTGAGAAGCACAAGGTCCTGAGTTCAATCCCTGGTATCCGCCCCCCGCCAAAAAAAAAAAAAAGACAATTTTCATTATCTGCACATAACATTAAGTTACTAACAATGACTATTCTGTCTGTGATTATTAACATTTCAGGGAGCTTAATTTTTGTGACTTCAGAATTTATATTGCTATCTTGTTTACTGGATTGTCTGTGTCCAAATACACAAATTTCAATTTACTTAACCTGCTTTCTATTTTTACTAAAGCAACATAAGGAAAAGTCAAAGATGACTGACTGCAAATTTTGATCTAAAAATGATTAATGAAAGTTCTAATTTTTTAATTGTACATAAGACATTATAACACTTCTTCATGGTGAAATCATTTGAACCTATTCCAGCAATTCTCACTTGAATATCATTAATTTTTCCCACTCTACTTGTTGCCTGTGTATGCTGTTATTCCAACCATCTTAAAAATAACTACTTTTTTACTGATTCTTTTTTCTGAACCAGACAAAACAATCAGGCTCAGGAAGCTGTGGTTCGATCCCCTCATCCTCAAACCAGACCTGCCCTGAAGGCACCCTAAGCAGACACCCCCCACCCAAAAAAAAATCCTTTTTTCTAAACCAACAGCATCTCATTTCTTTCCTCTCTTCTCAGTGATTATTCTAGGGTTTTTGTAACTATTTCCAACTTCTTGTTTCATGATCTCTAGTGTCCACTCCAATTTAGTTTTCTGCTACCACTTCTTGACCAAAACTGCTGTTATCAGGATGAATACCTCTAACTTGCTAAAGCCATTCTCTTTAGCTTATTTGACCTCTCAACAGCAATCAAAACAGATGATACTCCTCACTCCTTTAAACACTATTTTGGGGTTCAAAAACACTCCATTTTCTTTGTTTTCTTCTATTTTCTCTGATTTCATGTGTCTTCTGAATGCTAAAGGACTCATATTATACTTACTTAAACTCCCTGGTCGGGTGATATCTAGGCTCATTACTTTAAAGACTATCACTATGACCATGATTTACAAAGTTACAGCTTATAGACATCATCCAGTAACACAAAACTTATATACCTACTGTCTGTTCAATATCAAAATGAATATTAGAAATCTCCAACCAAAATTTACTTCAATGTATTTATCTAAACTACTTTTCACCAACTCTATGTTGCTGCCTTACACTAACAGCTTCCTATCTGATTATCATGCTTCTATATTTACCTTTCTATACAGAATTCACAACAGAGCAGCCAAAGTGGTTCCTTTAATATTAGTAAGATCATGCCACTACTCTATTCAAAACCCAGCAATGACTCCCAATATTACACAGATTAACAGCTCAAGTCTTTAAATGGCCTAAAAGTCTATTTATTACTTGGCCTCCCTGTTTTGTCTATTCTTCTACTACTCTCCTTGTATTTCTTCTATCTTCACTTTGTTCTCTTTCTTTTCTGGCTATTCCCACTTTCTGAAACTTTATCCCCAGAACCTATGTGGTAAGCTATTTTACCTCTTTCACCTCATTTCAAATTCAAGTCACCTTAATTAGTGTTATACTAAACATTCTCTAAAAACAGCCATCTACTCTTTTCCCCTTTACCATGATACTTTTCATCCCTGTAGGTGCAATCCTTTTATACCAGTTATGGGTTTACTAAATAATCTCCTTTTTACAATTATGCTAATTGCTTATTATAGTTTTTCTTTTTTTCTAAAATACAAATGTTATGCATGAAGGCAGATATATTTTTCTGTTTGTTTAGCTAAAGTCTCAAGCAGCAAAATACTGCTTAGGCCACACTCTTTCTCAAGTAAAAATAAAATGGCTGATTTGGTCAGTAGCTATCTATTACACTTATAATGTGTGAGTCATTAGGCATGAAATAATAAAATAATACTTTTGTCACAGTAGTTAAAATAAATTACTGCACTTGTATATTTCTGTCTTCCCCTATAGACTGAGATCCATGAAATCAGTGATGTTAATCTACATTTACACTTACCACAGCCTACTCACCAATAAAAACATTTGTGAACATACCTTTACCTCCACTTAGTGGTTTTAAGTAGAGCGCCAAATCCTCAACACATTTCTTTGCAATCTCATAGTGTTTATTCTCACCTAGACTACTTAACTTTATTGACTGATGATCTGGTACCTAAAAAAAGGAAAAGTGCAAAAACTACATTGATTGATCTCGTGAACTGCTATTGTATTTCGTAACAATCTTGGTGAAAGTAAAATTACAACAAAGATAATACATCAAAGCCAAATATCTCAATGGACTGCTTTCACTTATAGCATTTAGCACCTCCTTGATATATTATTTGCTTATTAGGTTTATAACAGTACTGCTTCTTCCTTGATAAATATAAGCATTACTAGGCAGTGTTCCCAATCAAAACTCAAAACGTGAGGAGCAGGATATATAATTCAGTGGTAGAGTGCCTACCTAATATGTGCAAGACCCTTGGTTTGATCCCCAATAATACACACACATGTGCGCGCGCGCGCACACACACACACACACGAAGAAAAAAGTCAGGATAAATACTGCAGCCAGAGAAATACTGGGACATATATCAGTGTTCCTGAGAAAAGTATTTGACTACTAGACAGCATAATTTCGTATCTATAAAATAAAGGTAAATATCCGTATTTCATATTGCCAGTATGAAAGTCCAGTTTAATTCAATAAATACTTGTATTTTTGAAGTGCTTATGTAATGTGGCAGGAAAGTCTTAGGCACTACAGATCTATCATTGAGCAAAATGGAGAAAACATCTTGCCCTAGGGAGTTTACATTTTAGTGAAGAGATAACCAGTAACTAAAAAAATATAAATATATGGGGCTGGGATATAGCTCAGCAGCATAAGCACCTGCCTGGCAAGCGCAAGGCCTCCTAAGTTTGATCCTCAGTATCTTAAAAAAAGAGTTGTTAGAAGATCAGTAAATATTATACAGTGAGATCTGGGGGAGTAGAAATGTGAGACAGGGACTATAATTTTAATTGGGGGGGGTTAAGGTTAGAGTTAGGGTTGTATAAGCTTCCTTGAGAAATGCAGTATTTGAGGAAAAATTAAAGAGGAAAGAGAAGAAATATTCTGGGCCAATGATGGTGAACTTTTTAGAGCTTTCAAGAAGAGCTATCAAGCAGCTGGCTACACAAAGTTGCCACAGGTTCACCACTACTGTTCTAGACAAAGATAACATTCACTCCAAAAGTCTTAGGGAGCAATATGATTGGCACATCTAACAACTACATTGGAGACCAATGTAAGCAGATAGCAGAGAATAACAGTAGTAGAGATGGAAGAGACAGAAGTCACATTAGATAGATTTGTAGGCTATGTTGAAGACCAGGATAACATTTATTCATTCAAGTAACAATAATACAATACCTGACCTACTACAAACCCTAAAGGTTAGCTAGTATTACTGAAAATATCCATATATTTTGTGGGAAATAAATGTTACTGTTTTCTAAGAAGTAATTGCTCCATTAAGAAAAATATGCTGTCAATTAAACTATGGCACTATTGATTATAGATGCATCTTGATTTCAGAATCCCTGACTATAAACACTGAAAGGAGATTTTTGCATTAAAAGGAAAACTTCAAAGATCAAGATACTAAAGGGAAAACGCAGGGTCCTTAGTTTAATCCCAGGTACCGCAAAAAAACAAAAAAGAAAAGAAAAAGATACTAAGGGGAGAAATGGAGTTTTTTGGTGTTTTGTTTTTTTTTTAATTTTCAAATTAAACCAAACTTGTTAAGGAGATGGAGAGATGGCTCAGCAGTCTAAGTGCCTATCTGGTAAGCACAAGGAGCTGGGTTCAATCCCCAGTACCACATGCCATGCCAGGCATATAGTGCCAGCAAGCAAAATCAGGGTGTGGTGGCACACACCTGTAATCCCACTGCTGAGAAGGCTGAGACAGGAGGATCACTAAGAGTCCAAGCTGCATAGCAAGACCCTGTATCAAGTAAATAAAAGATTAAAAAAATTGTTTTTGTGTTAAATTTTCTAATATACCAAAAAAATCCTTATTTCTTTTAATATGTGTGTATGATATACAATATGTAACCATTTTCCTCCTCTGTAACACTACCTGAAGAGTTATGTTAAAAATAACAGACTGATGGCAAGCACAAGGGCCTGAGTTCAATCCCCAGTTCCACCAAAAAAAAACAAACAAAAAAAAAAGACTGAAATTTACTATCATATGTAACACAAAGTAGAACCTCATTAAATGAAAATTATTATAAATCTAGGGTCTTGCCCTGTTTCAGTGAAAGAATGATAATATGAAACATTCATTGTACTGCACAGGAACCTGAAAAATTTAATGAGTAACACTCTGATAACTGGTTTTAGATCTTTAAGTAATATTTATTTTCTCATATATAACACTGTCTTTCCTCATTGCTGTGACAAAATGCCTGACACCCAAAGCTAAAGAGGAAAATGTTTATTTAGCTCAGTTTGTAGAGGTTTCAGTCCATAACTGATTGGCTCCAAGGTGGGGCGGCATGCCAGATAGCCACTGCTGAGTAAAAACAGCTCATGTAGACAGAAGACAGCAAAGCAAGTAAGAGATGAGACAAGCCTCTTTCTGTGCCTTATACTGTATCCAGGCTACTGGGATTAGGGAGTGACAAACCAATCAGTGGACTAATTTAGTAATCACCTACCCTTAATCCTATCATTGAACCATGAATCATTCACACACTAGAATTAGCCTCCTCTGAAAAAGCTTCACCGATGATTACATGAGGCTTTGGAGGGAGATCTAAACACAAGCCATAATAATTATCCTAAATGAACTGGAGCTAAAAAGAAGTTAAAACATCTCCATGTGAGAGATCTAGTTGATTGATTTCTGGCAAAACCTTTGATCATATTTCTTTTAATATCAGTTAAAGAGTATATACATGTGTGTATATAAAAGTGTTTCCCAGCCAGGGATATAGCTCAGCAGCGTAAGCGTCTGCCTAGCAAACACAAGGTTCTGAGTTCGATCCCTGGTACCACCAAAAACAAACCAAAAAAAAAAAAAAAAGTGTCTCCTGAAAACAAAAGAAAAACAAAATGAAGATTTTCATCCACCAGAACTACACATACACACACATATATATATATAAATTTTAACAACATTGAGGAGAAAAACAAATACGTAAGTATAATGAAATTTACAGTTTTATTTAAGAATTTATGACCTTATCTAATCTTTAAAAATACAATTACAGGGGGCCGGGGAGATGGCTCAGTAGAATAAGCGCTTGCCTGGTCAGCACAAGGGCCTGAGTTCAATCCCAGGTTCCGCAAAAAAATAAAAAAAAAAAACAACTACAAGAGGTTGGGGAGGGCTGGGGAGACAGCTCAGGGGACTAACTGCCTGCTTAGGCAAGCATAGGGACTGCAGTTCAATCCCCAGTACCATAAGCCACACTGGGCCTGCCCTTGGGCGTGCTGAGCTGGCCGCAGAGACAGGCACGGCAGTGCATGCCTGTAATCCCAGCACTGGGGAAGCTGAAAACGCGAGGATTATGGAGTCTGAGCTGCATAGTGAGACCCTGTACCAAATACATTAAAAAATAAATAGGGCTGGCCCAAATAGCTCAGTGGATAAAAACACCTGCTTAGGCAGACAAAGGGGCTAGCAATTCGATCCGCTGGCCTGCTGTGCCAGCCCCAGGCATGCCCCCGGGCACACTGAGATGGTAATTAACACTGGGCACGGTGTGAGCCTATAATCCCA